TTCAGCCACAGAATCCACGAGTGACTCCGAATAACAGTCTTTTTATCTGCAACGGTCTCATTATCTTTGATCATGTGCTCGCATGAGCTGCTTAGCACATTAGATGAGCTGTACTTTATTCCGCTTTTTTTTTCACTAGCTTGAAATGTGCTGTCACCGCCTGCAGTACGGATTTTCTCGCACGAGGTTCATAGCTCCAACAAACACGATTTGTGATACCTTAGTCGCTAATCTGGGACTTTTATTGAGTTCTTGTGAACAATATACCCAATCTTGGAACGTTATATCCCACTCGTCGATCAATCAGAGGTGTTAAACGTGAGAAAAATAACTATTGAAGCCATCTTTCACGGTCGCATACCAGATACTATCTTCATGTTAACCTCCCTGCCTTCCTTTTCTCTCTATATGGTTGTCTCGTTACATCTACATTACAGAGTGTTCTTACATATTTACTGTGAAAGAATTCACTCAGTCTTATTGTGCATTCAGTGGTTCCAAAATGCCGGAAAAAAAGTTCACAATATTTGTTTAGGCATCTGTATTCATTTTCTGTACAGCTATCCACCTGTACATATTCATACGGCGCACATTACTGATCTTTTACAGCAAAAGCTGTTATGAGAGCACTTTTCGGGACACGCGCAGTTGTTGTCCGACGCCGCCGCCGGTGTGCGTAAGCACATCGTGCGAAATAAGGAAAAAAGAAACCTTGCACAAAAGACACAGTGGGGCTCGAACCCGGGTCCGGAGCGTGGCAGGGCAGTATTCCACCACTGAGCTACACCGGTGCTTTTTTTTTTCATTAATGAATGAAATTATCACCAGTAAAGTACGCAGAACATACTTCATCAGAAGTCAGGCAAACACACACAAGCGTCAAGAACGGGAAGCCACTCCGGAACGGGGTCAAAAGTCTCGACAACACTGCGCACTTGAACAGCTGCTTCTCGGCAAGTTTGACAACTATAGTTAGAAGCACCGGTGTAGCTCAGGTCGAGAAGCTGAGCTATGAGCTACACCGGTGCTTCTAACTATAGTTGTCAAACTTGCCTTAGGTAGGCTTGATGTCGGGAAAGCAATCGCGTTAATACGACTTATAAAGCGTTTTACAACAGCGCAAGAACAACCAGTCGTCGCACAATGCGAATAGCGTAACGAGTGGGCCGTCCAATGCTCCAACCTATTACGAAAGCTTGTTCTTGTTTCCCTGTTAACTGTAGCGCAAACCCACTTCAGCCATAAATCCTCATCGTCGTCAGCCACTGCATGGACATGTCACAAAATTCCTTGCAAGAGTTTAGCGGATACTACGCTTCCCAGAAGAATGACGAAAAATGGCATAGAGAATGCCAGCCTACTACCCAAATGTTTAATATTAATGCCCTAGTGGGTACCAAGCAAGTGTGCTTGCAGTAGTTACCCAATGAGTGCTTTAAAAGCCTCTGAATGACCGCTCCTCAAGTTTTCGCTGTGACTGTGCTGCGCCTACCGCACAGGACTGGCATTTTTCTACAGTGAAAGCTGTTACAAGATCCCAACAATAGCCAAGTTTTGCGCCATATTTGTCGGCCGTGTCTTGTGTCCATAATCACCATTGCACGAAATAAAAAAAAGAGAAATTATCCCGGATCCAGTCGGACTTGAATCCATGCTCTCCGCTTGATAGGCGACTATTCTACCACAGAGCAACGCCAGTAGTTAAAACTGCTTCGCACAAAATCCCATACAGGCGTCATGTCGGTCAAGGAATCCAGTTAGCAGATGTTCTATATCGCTACGTGGCAATCCACGCAGCCATAGAACACGGCAGAAGAGTAAAAGCACCGCCAGAAATACGTATCGCGTAGCGAGGAGCTGGTTTAAAACTTTCCACACATTACCAAGTGCTCAGCATTGAATTATCATCATCATGAGCCACAGCAACATGCAAAAAAGTGCATATAATGCTTTACGCATATGTGGGGGGTACCCACCGTCTACGCAGAATGAGAAATAATTACACAATGGGTACCTCCATACTTCCCAAACATTATTTTTTGCATAGTGAGTACCTTGCGCATAGTGAGTACCTTGATACCGTGAGTATCATTCTCAATTCTACATTGTACAAGAGGTCCCCTTGCAGTCTCTGACTATGGGACCTCTTTCTGTATATCATGCACATGTATTCTTCTTCATTTAGCACAATAAAACCATCTGTTCTGTTCTGTTCTTGCGAGTGTACTTGTAGTATAGTTGCCTTGAGGGTTTACAAAGTTCTCAAGAAATGCCGCCCTTACCGCTTTCGCCGTTGCGCGCAAGAATGAGTTTTATAACCCAATAGCGTTGAACAGCTCATTTCGCCGAAATTTCGATGTCAGCATCGGTGTCGACGTTGTCCATGAGTGCAAAATTTAAAAAAATGCGAATAAACAGGTTATAAAAATATAACGCCGTGAGCGTATATTCCGCTGTGGTGAAACGAAACAAAATTCATAATTAAACAATCTTTGATTCAATTTAGAATCAAACCCCGGACATCCTCGTGGCCAGAAGATGCTCTGCCACAGTGCCACGTCCTCGTGTTAAGCACCTTCGGAAATGAGGACCGTATGAATGTCATGCAATGAGAGGAGTCTTCTTAAAGCGAGTAATATTGCGTGACAGAAGCGTAGGCTCTCATCAGGAGTCAAAACAGGCGAATTGCGCAATGAGCGGACGTTTTGAAGGCCCGCCCATTATAAGGCACTCAGTTGTACAATTAATCATCATTATCAGACACAACATCAACAAAGTGTGCAACTGTGTGCGCGTGAAACGCGGAGCGAGCACTTGGCCGATTCGCAGAAGGAAAGATTGCGGCTGTGTTCCAATTCTTAGACAGCACGTAGACATTGTACGCAGACTGCTTAGAAGACAGCACCGAGCCCATGCTGTCCGAGAATCGGAACACTTCTGGACGGCTTTTATGGGACGATGCGCCACCTCGCGTCGAGAAGAAAAAGCTAAAATAAACAAACATAGCAGTTCTATTTTCTGGCTTATTTTGTGTTGAAATTAAAAAAAAAAAAACAAATAAACGTTACTCACATTGAGCGTCTGCGAAAGCATCTGTTTGTGTGCAGACGACCATTCCGGCGAGATTTGATCTATATGAGTGATTCGCTGAGCCGCCATTTTGTTTAGACAGCATCGTATTTGTCAACAATCCAGTCTTCTCGGAGCTGTCAATTTTGCCGGCTACGTAAGTATTGGAATGGGACTTAAGATGGCCGCCGGCCATTTAGCCGTCTATTTAGCCGTCTACGGCGAGTATTGGAACATAGCCTATAGCGTATAGAGGGCCCCTCACAACCGTATTATAGCAGGAGGCATTCCAGGACACTTTGGAACGGCCACTTTTACGCACACAGATGTTCGTCTCCTTGTGGCACGGCTCAGTTGTCCACTTAAAAGCGAAGCCAGCTGAGTGATTATGGGGGGACCATTGAGCCTCGCCTTTAGGAGTTGAACGCGATGGCAATATCCTGTCCCCAGTGCGCATACTTCAAACACTGAGTGCACGAAATCGTTTCAAACTTGCTCGGCACCCACTAAACTTGGTTTTAAGTGAATAGGCGCAGTGACGTGCGTGCCTTCTGTGGTGGGTGACCACCTGTAAACCACGAAGCCATTACGATAATCATGTTCTGACGCCCGCTGGCAATGTACGCTCGTGCCGCGCATTATTACTGCAATATTTATTATTGTACTGTAAAACACGTATACGTGACACGTGTGTTTGTAAAGAGTGAAGGTTACTTCCACTGCATTTTCGAGAAGAGGAAGTTATTTTCACTGTATATTCACGAGCAGCTGGCGTAGCTGTGCGGTAGAACATCTGCTTTCCACGCAGACGACCCGGTTTCAGTCTACACTCAAATACAGAATTTTTATTATTTATTTTATTTGCATCTGTCGATTGTTCGGTCCCGTAAAGATCATTTTTCGCTCACAACCATGCAACGAAGCTGACTCCGACTTCGACGCCGGGATTTATGCGAAACGACCTGTTTAACGCTCTCGAGTCAAAAGCGAACCCAGCTGAGTGATTATGGGTCATAGCTTGTAGGCAATGCGCAAGGAGTCCCATCAAGCTATCATGATATTCTCTTGAACGTGAATCTCGAACATCCTACAAGTTTCTTGTAACCCTTAATTTGCTGTCAACGTATGAATTGATTCAGGAGAAGACCTCACAACACGCCAAAGACTTCAAGAGACCCTTTGTGTCGAACATCATAAAACGAGTTATTCTTACAGGACCATTGTTTTAAAAAAGTAGTATTTCTTACACGTATATGACAACATGGGAGCAGCGTATAGCTACATTCTAATAGTAAGTGCTTAGAGTGGCCAAGCTAAGAGATTGATTGATATGTGGGGTTTAACGTCCCAAAACCACTATATGATTATGAGAGACGCCGTAGTGGAGGGCTCCGGAAATTTAGACCACCTGGGGTTCTTTAACGTGCACCCAAATCTGAGCACACGGGCCTACAACATTTCCGCCTCCATCGGAAATGCAGCCGCCGCAGCCGGGATTCGAACCCGCGCCCTGCGGGTCAGCAGCCGAGTACCTTAGCCACCAGACCACCGCGGCGGGGCCGGCCAAGCTAAGAGTACCTCAGCTCTTGTGTGCTAAAATAAACGCGCAGCTATCCTGCTTTCTCCCTCTCTGGGAATTCACTATACATTTCATTACGACGTGCGGCCTTTCGATGAATATAGCCGCATCCTGCCAGTGGTGAAACGCGACACCGCGCCTACCAAGGTTTGCCGCGGATTCTGCGGCTTTGAGGTCGCGCTCGGCGTTCTCATTTGCAGCACTCATGTCGACAACGTTCGCGCGCTTGACGTGTGCCGCGATTTTCCTGGCAGCGGCGAGCGCGCCCACCGTCCTTTCTACCACATGGAGCCGTCCAAGTAAACCTCGCCTGAGGCTACTGATGGACGTAGACACCGGAGTAGACGATGCGATGGCTATCACGCTGGCTACGAGGCTACCCAAAGTGCAAGTCGAAGCCGTCACAGTGGTCGCGGGAAACGGCAACCTGTCCACCGGGTACGACAACACGCTGAGGACACTGAATGCCATCGACCGAACGGACGTGAGTAGTCTACCCCATGTGCGGGTGCACGAGGGGGCAGGAAGGGGGGGTTGCTGCTTTCCCCCTGGTCACCTATGGAGATGCGGGGACGTGAAGTCTACCCCGTACGTTAACTCTGTTAGGGCAAAGCAAGGTTTGGAAGATAATGGTGTCTCAATACTTGTAATGTTACATTACAGGAACTGTTCACTTCCAATCTTTACTTCTGAGAAGTTGGGAACCAAACACATTGTCAGAAGCCCCTCATCACTATTTTCTCTCTTTTTTGCATCTATTATGGAGCATGTCTTTTGGACTCCACCCACTGGAAAGAAGGCGGGAGAGGAGGATTTCGCGATAAAACTCTAACCCCCTTCCCCTCCCCTTATGTACAACCCCGCTCACGCACGCTTGTGAGCATATCACGGCAACTAACAACACTCATCGTCGTCGTAAACAATGGCCATCGTTAACTACCACGAGGTTCAGCGTTAAACACAGCAGCATGTCCATCGTAAATGGTCGGGAAGTGCATAGAGTTTCCTAAATTTAGCTAGAGGGGACTCTGGCGCTGCGATCTTTCAGTGACCATGAGAATGATGGGTAGTACACGGATTTGCCAAGTCTTCGAAGACTTGGCAAATCCGTGTACTACCCATCACACTTGTTGTGGCTTCATTTATTGCTGTGTTTCGGTTTTGTTTTGAAGGAAAGAACGACCACTTTTGAACTTTGTGACACGGTTCGAAACGGCAAGCCTAAAGAAATTAAGGTGGTGAAGCGCTACCGCTGAACATTCGCTGATTTTTGTTTCGTGACGGGACAGCTTCAAGCCACACGAACACACACGGAGCCAGAAGTACGAAGATTAGACGAATCCGTGTAGTATACTAATCGTTCCCACGCTCACTGAAGTGACGTGCGTTGCTGCTCCCATAGACACACGCGCCAGAATTCCCTTTAGCGGATATATATGAAACTCTACGGGAGAGTGTAGAATGACGAGAAATCTGACCTAGTTTGAAGGAAGTCATGAATAGTACCAAAGGCAAGCAAACACAGACAAAATAAAGTCAGGGTAGCACAAATACACTTTTTTACAGCGTCTGTGAAGCCCCTATACTTCACTCTGTTTTCTATTTTACATTATAATGTTTTGTCATGGTTGACACTCCAACAAGGCACAACCAACAAAATCAATAATTGCCGAACAGCTGTATTGTGTATAAGGTTCCTTGTCGATACGACCGGCGCAGTGTCACACATGTTGCTGTGTTAACGAAAGGTTATTGAAACATGAGAGATCGCTATCCGGAGGTTGACCTTCTATGTTGACAATTTCGACGGTGTAAATACACGCCGATATTTGATGGACGCGAATTTATCTACTTGCGAGATATCTAAGCAACGCCTCAAATGAATTAGGAATGGCATATCAATAACAATGTAGTAATGCATGCGCCAGCCAACCGTCGAATAACTTGCGTAAGAAAGAAATGAAATTTTATAACAACTATACTGAGCGATTCGCAAGTAGCAATCAGAAATTTTAAGCAAGAATGGATTTCACAGCAAGCCCTCAGAATCCTCGTTGATAACCAAGAACTACACAAAGTAGATGAACCCAAATACCTCGTATGGTCCCCGCGCACACAGAGACTGATACATCTAATCCAAACGAGCTGGCTCATGAGTTGTCGCGAGAATTAACCCGCCACGCAACCCGACCACACCACTAGGTGATCATCCCTGGCACCGCCGACATACCACACAAAGACCGATTTACAAGCTACACAGAATACATGCAACACTACGGATAAGCAAGGCGCGTCTTTCCCGCACCTCATCAGTCTAAACAGGCAAGAAGCATCGGAATACCGACAGCTACAGACGAACTGCTACCCGAACCCTGTGCACCTCCACAGGAGCTACCCACACTTATACCCGGACAATAAATGTAAGCTATAACAGAAAAGGCGTCTTACAAACATATATTATGGGAATGCCCCAACTTATCAACAAGTTCTCCAGGAGCAGTGGCGACTTGTGCTGCTCAGCTCGGAGGTTCAAGACCAAAAATGAGCCATCCAGCAGGCCAGGGAGGCTGTACAGAGACAAGGTTTCCCAGTATCTTCTTGTGCGGTCTAGCCCGGACCACAAACATGCCGGATACGAGAATAAAGTTTATTCATCATCATCATCATAACAACTAAACTTTACGTAGCCCCCGCGCATGCATGATTGATAGGTTCACCTATTACATGCGCATGCGCAGATTCTCGTGTCCGTCTTTGCACACACAGTCTATTTTTAATAACGCATCGTGGGCCCTGCCGCCGAAATTTTCCTTCTCACTATTGATTTCAAATGCGCCTGCTCGAGCTTGAAAAAGCATTTACTGATGAGTACGACGTGATTCAAGTTTACAACTCTTATCACCTTTCTGCCACACACAAAAAAAAGGGCGAGAAAGGTAGGTGAAAAATAAAAAAATATGATAGATATGTGGGGTTTAACGTCCCAAAACCACTATATAATTAGGAGAGACGCTGTAATGGAGGGCTCCGGAAATTTCGACCACCTGGGGTTCTTTAACGTGCAGCCAAATCTGAGCACACGGGCCTACAACATTTCCACCTCCATCAGAAATGCAGCCACCGCAGCTGGGATTCGATCCCGCGACCTGCGGGTCAGCAGCCGAGTACCTTAGCCACTAGACCACCGCGGTGGGGCAAAGAGTAATAAATGTATGCGCCACAATTGTATTCGCGTATGAATTCGGCGCAAAATACTTGAAAATATGGTCAATTACGGGCTCGTTAATAGGTTTTCTACGCTAAGGTTGATGCTTTCTACTCTGATATGTTGAAGCTATGGCAACGAAAAAAATCAAGGACACAGATGTGCGGCGGTTCATATACCTGTATGTCTGCATTTATACATATACTCCACTACAAGCAGCTATTTTACAAGAACAGCTGCGATTTGTTCATGCGATCGTTACCATGTGCGTTTGCCGTTGTCATATGGCGGACAATTATTATTGAGGAGTACGTTTTGTACGCCTTCGTGTTCGCCGTTTGCGAGTTAAAAATAGGAGTTTTAAAACACGTGATTACTGAAACAACTTCAACTGATTACGTGGTGTTGCACATTAGTACAGACGAAGCTAACGAAATCGTTGCGAACCAAGCAAAATAATCCGTGGATACGTGGGAAACAAAAACTGTGAGGCTGAAACGCTTGCTACGCAAATCATGTCATTTATCAATCAGCTTGGGTGAATATAGAAACCTTCAGCATAGAAGAAAAAAAAAAAAAGAAGGAACGAAAGCAAGAAGGAAAGAAATAAAAAGACAGAAAGAAATAAAAAGAAAGAAAGAAAGAAAGAAAAAAAGAAACAAGCAAAAAAACAAACAAACGAAGCAAACCCGCAGAAGCTCCAGGATTCTATTGACTGTCAAACGGACCCGACATTAGGACATACGTGAGAGTAGTAGCGAATGTTCTCTCTCATTTCCTCTCCCTGTTCCCTGTTTCTTTCTTTCCTTCTTCCTTTCTTCATTCTTTATCAACTTGTTCCTTTCTTGGCTTAAGCTATGTTCCCGCACATTAAGCTGCCTTTTTTTTTGGTAATGCCCCGCATGCTACTGGTTTATTTGAAAGTAAACCAATTAGAGACAAGGTGCGAAGTAAGGGCAAGTGCTGCCATGCATTTTAAAAATAGAGCATATTTTTCAAGGTGCAGACAAACAACTGAATGAGTTGGAAGCTTGGAAGCTGCGACCTCACTTGCGTTCATAGCTCGCATTGACGCCAGTGACGGATAGTAGTACGACGGTAAATGATAACGACTGTCGCATATAGGAACTATTTGCAGTGGAGCAGTCACAAATAGATTATCTCCAGCATTTCGACACTAGTCGCTTCACTGCAACTCGTTTAACATCGGAAAAAGAAAGAACCTAGCGACGCTAAAGACAACCTGCCTTTAGAGGTGGGACTCCCTCGCTGGATTCCGTGCCGACCGGTTGTGCCTTCGCGATCTCCGACGACAGCGCAGCTCGTCCTACGCCACCTCCTGACCTCCTGCCGCCACTCCCCTACGACGACGTCAGCGCAGCTGTGGCCAACTGGATAAGCGCTACGCCATCTCCTGTCGCTGACAAGAGCTCTCGCAAGTGGTGCCCCGTCCTCGGACTCCTGTGACCGTGTTTCCATCTTTCCTATCTCTCCTATCCCTCATATGTCCTCACTCGCTGTCCCAGCGCATATCTCTCTCTCTCTCTCTCTCTCTCTCTCTACCTTTAATCCTATCCTTTTAATTGCTCACCCCCGTCCCTTGTGAGCTACTGTTGAGGTGTCGCACGCTGATGCAGACACTGTTACGGGGCTCACTTTTGTATTCTTTCCCTTCTTATACCCACAATCGCTCTCTCTCTTTCTCTCTCTTGAGGTACACCCGCCAGGGTGGTCTATATAGGGCTTAAGCATCTTGACTGCCATCCCGCAGGTCACGGGACCGGATCCCGGTCGCGACGGTCACATTTTCGATGGAGGCAAAAATGCTACAGGCCCGTGCACATAGATTGGGGTGCTCGTTAAAGGACCCCGAGGGTGGTCAAAATTTTTGGAGCCATTCAGTACGACTTCTCGCATACCATATCTCGATTTGAGACGTAAAACTTCATAAATTATTATTATTATTATTATTATTATTATTATTATTATTATTATTATTATTATTATTATTATTATTATTATTATTATTATTATTATTATTATTATTATTATTATTATTATTATTATTATTATTATTATCTACAGGTGCCTGTTTACAAGGGAGCTGACAGACCTATTGACGGCCTTTGGGACGCCGAAAAAACGTACTTCGGGCCCGACCAATTCGGAGGCGTCAGTCAGCGGTACCCGATCTCGAGGAATGCCGCCGCCGACCCCCAGACTCCCGGGTACATCAAGATGATCGAGCTGATAAAGAAGAACAGAGGAGAACAAACGCTAGTTTTGACGGCCCCTCTGACAAACTTGGCAATCGCGTTGCTCACGGCACCAGACATCTCAGAGGGAATCCGGCATGTGTACATCCTGGGAGGAACCCTATACGGTAAGTGACAACAGCGCATGCGCGTGCGCACGCTGGTGCAGGGAGGGCCGGGGGTGGTCACCCCCTTTCCCCTCAATCATCTGAGGGTGGAGGGGACTTGACAAGTATGTCCCATATATTTTACTCAGTTGCACCTGTCCCATTATTGATTGAAGCGCAAGACCATGACCATGAAAATTTTTGACAATAATCAGCAGAAGCCCACTCATATTTCATTGCAAGAGCAGTTTTTTACTTCCCATTTTCACCCCCGGAACGCCGATAACAGTAGTTGGCGTTTAACGTTCCAAAACTATGGTATTAGGGACAAAAGACTGCGTTACGGTTACAGGGACCAAATAAGTTAGGGAGGATACACGTAATGAAGTAGAGACAACAGTTACGTGTGTCCTCCCAAACTTCGTTTGTTACAGTAACTCGGTTTTTTTTAAATCATGAAAAACCAACTAGCCTAACACCACACTTGGCTAACATTATAAAAGACGACACTGTGGGGCGCTTCGTAAATTTTGACAGCCTGGGTTTTTTTTTAACGTGCCCACAAATCTAAGCACACGGGACTCAAGCATTTTCGCTTCCATTGAAAATGCCATCGCTGCGGCCCGGAAAGCAGAAAACCAAAGGCAGGCTGCTGTGAGTATCCCGTCATCGCCTCATTTTCACTTTTACGCCCACTGCAAATCTTCTTTTCTTTCGAACGCAGTCACAACGGCGCGCAGTGAGATTTCGCCCTCCCCCGCCACCTTCCAAAGGGGAACCCATTCTCATGCTCGCAGAGAACGGAACCCTCCCTCGTTATGGCAGCAATTTAGTCACAACGGATGTTGGCTTTAAGTGTACAGCTGCGCACGGGTTATCTTCCTGCAATTATTTGTGTGTAAAGCATGCGAGCCGGACATCTGCAGACAACACTTTGCCACTTCAGAGTTTCCTGCGCAAATTGCCGTTTCATTTTAACGTCTTTTGCTCTAATGTTATTTTTGCATCTCTCTTCCGTTTCTCGCAGGCAGGCTATGGCAAGTTGGATGCTTAGCGCGAATGCTTTCATGAAATAGGGATTTAACCGTTATTTAGTTGGAGCAAGATTTTAGGCCAGGAACAGTATTCCTCAAGTTAAATCATATCCAAAGAACACTCCACTGATAAATATATCGCATAAGACTATATAAACAAGACCAGGCATATACTAAAACGCCATGCCGTGTATCACATACTTAGACTTTGTTTCTGTGTTCTTGTGTGTATTTAGCGCACAATTTAATCTTGTTTGCTGAACGCATGAACTATGTATGGCTAATGAGAGCCTAAGGAGAGGCTAAGGAGGAAAGGATGGAGGAAGGAGGGTACAGATCAGTACATGGGCTGTGAGGAGAGGAGGGAGGTAAGTGGGAGGTTCGAGACATGCATTCGGTTTAGCGGAGAGGAGGTTCATCATCATCATCATCATCATCATCATCATCAGCCTACTACGTCCACCGCAGGACAAAGGCCTCTCCCATGTTCCGCCAGTTAACGCGGTCTTAAGTAGTGCAGCGATGGCGTAGTGGTTAGAGAGGAGGTTCCTTCAGTGCTAAATCATGCCCATGTTCGTATGGATTTGCGTAACTTTGCATTTTGGCGTTGATCTTTCCACTTAGCTTCGTTGTACATTGGCCTTTACAATATTACGTCGTTTAACCCCATACATAAGCTTCAGAGTTATGACAGATTGGCTGAAAAAAAAAAGTTAGCTGCTTGCCTCACTTGGCATAAAATTACAATTTATTGCGATCAGTGTACTCTTGCGGCCACATTGATTTTATTTTAAGGGATCTTATAATTGGGTATTGCTTCTTTCTGCCTCGTTTGCAGGTAAAGGTAACGTCAATCCAACGGCCGAATTCAACTTCTTCACAGACCCCGAAGCAGCCTTGGTAGTTCTGCAAAGGGCCAAATGTCCTGTCACCCTTATCCCATGGGAGGCAGCCCTTCAGGCTACAGTGCCATGGGTTAGAATGTCTGCTTAGCTTCCATTCTTACTATTCATACTGGTGGAGTGCTCGATAATGTCAACACGTTTTCACATGGACACGAGATGAAATGCGTCCTGTTTTGCAAAACTACACTGTGTACTGCACCTACGGCACTAAGTAGGATTACGTTATTCACAGAAACATTCGATTGATTGAGTGCCGATAAGCATGCGTCAAGTTGCACCTAACTTTCAATATCCCGTATACCAACTATCCAACCAGCAAGTTATATTAACTTAAAAGAGTAGATAACCAGTGACGAATGTTTATTATGCATAGACTCCACGAAAAATATAAGCTTGCGTTCGATTAGGTCACAATTTTCTTACTTGACATATAGTGGCGTAGCTCGCATGTAAACTTGAACAGTTTAATTGGAGCCTATGGTCACAGATTAAGCGACGATACAGTACCTAATATTATGCGCCGGAAAAATTCGTGAGCTGATGAACATGTGTGTACAGACATAAAATATGCAGCATATACATGCACAAATGTGACCACACTACCACTGTGCATTGGGACGAGAGCGGTGTAGAAAAAAAACGAAAAAAAGATACAGTTAGTGTGCACAGATTCAACTGAACGTTACAGAGCAGCAGGTGGTCAAAATTGTTCCACAGTAGTGGACTACAGCTTACCTCAAAACCAGTTAGTGTTTTAGCAATAAAAATTTGCAACTCAACTCTTCTTTTAAGCGCCACTTCCTCTGGGAATAAAATTAGTTAGGGTTGATATTCTCGCTTGTACATCATATGGTATGCTCCAACTGGTTTCGGCCTCTCAGGCTCAAGATTAAGACAGTAAAATGTGATTAAAAGTGTAAACATCAAGTGTTTTTTATAAAAACAGGCATGTGAACTAACAGACAATAATGGAAGGGAGTTAACAGAAAGATATAAGACAGGGAAGTTAACCAGAAAGACATTTGCATGGCTACACTTGGAGATTAGGGAAGAGAAATACTAGAAATGTGAGAAAGAGAGACAAAGGAAGAGAAGAGAAAGAACAGAGAGATAGAGAGAGAAAGAGGAAGATGAACAGAGAGGCAACGTTGAACAGATTATGATGCCAAGGAACGTATAGCGGAAGTCATTAGCAGTAATTATTGTAATGTGAAAAGAAAAAAAGACAAAAATGGACGAACAAATTACTTGCCGCTGAAAGAGACCGAAGCAGCGACCTTCGAATAACGCGTCCGATGTTCTAGAAACTGAGCTAAATCGATGGTCATCCCCCAATCCACTTTATGGGGCTTTATGTGCATTTAAACTTGGGAGTGTTAGTCAGAGCCGCTAGTAGCCATGACGGCGAGTGTAAAACAAACTCTTTCCGCATGTGGGCGTCACTTAGCACGCGCTTTTATTACGAGCTGGCAGCTCACCAATAATTCATCACATACTAAATGTCTAACAAAAAAAGCAAGCCGTTAATTTTTCCTTTTTTTCCTACTTATATACTCGTAGGGTGTTTGAAGAGATGTGTCTGAAATCACAAAAAATCAGAAAAATTTGAGCTAGCTGCCTTCTCAGCTGCTTTTTTTTTGTAGTGGCATAAACCATAAGATGTTTAGAAACGTTATTTGAGACTGTAATTAGGAGAGTTCAATTAATAACAATTCTCGGGGTTCAACGTCGATCCTAAAACCACCACATGATTATGAGAGACTAAGCGGAAGAATCACAGTTGCGCTCTTCCATGTTTGAGTGTCAGTTTCGCCACTGAGTATGGTCTGATTTCATTATATTCCATCTCTCCTGATCCATTTCTCCTGTACGTATACTCCCTGTAAAGTGGAACACATCAGTGTGCTGTTTCCTCCAAGCATTTGTACTGCACGAGATATGCACCACCGAATATCTTCTCTCGATGGCATGGCTATACCTAATTCACTTTCTGTCCCCTACCCCGCCACTTTCTACAAGGACACTTACTATGGTATCATAAAGAGGTCAGGCCAGCTTCATAAATTCCTGTTCCGAATCATGACTCTCATCATGCAGTCCTACCTACTCCTAGTACACAGCTCCTACCTTGCCCGGCCACACTATCCATCTATTCGAAGTAGAACAGACGTGCGTACAACTTCCTCCATGTTCTTAAGATATATTCACATAAGATATATTGCGAATCGGTTCTGCGGTATCCTATATGGCGAAGGGGTTAAAGCAACCACCAGTTTTCAGCACAAAGCCGAGATATTCATGCGGATTTCTCTTAAAGAAAACTTACCCAAAATATTATTCCTGGTCCAGGTCCGTCCTGGTACGGAGACGAATTCGGGGCCAGGACAGACCAGGATGAACTTTTCGGCTTTTAAAAGCCTTTTTTTTTTAGAAATCCGGGTTACTACGGAGTTTTCGAATAGGGGCCCCAAACCCTTTTTCGTGATCTCTCTTTGGGTAAATTAGGAACTAAGAGTTTCCGAATAGGGTGTCGGGCGTTTTGGACACCGTCTCTATTCAAGGTTACTCTATAGTCTTGGCCGAGAGTCGTCATGGGTGCCGTCACTAGAGCCGTCGCGTTTGCCAGACGCAAAGCTCTCGAGGCAGGCTTTGGGGCTCCCGCTAAATTGGAGATATAGCGTCCCCAACACACAACCCAAACCTTAAGTCTCGCGTATGTGCAGCGGGTTCGACGCGATTTTTCTGGGGACCGAAAACGATTGTAGCCCCTATTGAAAAGCTCCCTATAGTATGTCCTCGAGGCTTTGTGCTACAAACAGATGGTTTCCATTTTTCTTTCCTTTCTGCGCAGGGTATGCACAACCAGACGCCATTTTCTGCTGAAATGCATGTACCTAACCGTATATGCATGTACCGCACATGCAGTTTGTGCTACGATTTGAAAATTCACAATTTAATGCGTATAGGTATATATTCTTGGAGTGTCTGTATGATATGTTTGTTTTCGTGAAGAGTTTTCATGTATGATGTCTACCTGAAATGCTTTATTTGCAGTGACAGTTATGTACATGCATGTTTTGATTTTTCTGGTTGCTCTATTATTTTTATACTCGCATCGCATGCAAACATGTACACGCATGCCGAATGCGCATGGGAGTAGGAGCCTCTATCAGGCAATACGGCCTTTAGCTCTTACTCCTCTTTCTGTATCAGAAAGAATAGAATAAACTTCAAACTTCAAACTAACTATATGTTAAGTTTCAACATCCTTACCCTACTCCACTCTCTCTCTCTCCAAGGACACTTACTACAGCGTCACGAAGAAGTCGGGCCGACTTCAGGAGTTTCTGCGCGACATCACGACTCACACCGTCCGTTGCTGCCTTGAGCGGAGGCCAGAGCCCGGGCTGGGTTCAACGTGGGAGACTTCCTGGCGGTTCTCGCCGCAGCGGTGCCCGAGAGCGTCTCCAGCACACTGGAACAGCGCGTTGACGTCGAGAGGAGCGGCGAGTACGCCAGTGGTCAGCTCGTACACGCGTGGGAGCCCAAGATCTTGCCTCAAGTGAAACGCAACGTGACGATTGTCAGAAAATTCGACGTGGACGTTGTCGAAAAATACTTCAAGTACGCCTTCGACTCGAGTGAAGCCTGATAACTTAATAAACAAGAGCCACACCACTTAGTAGTGCGGATTTATTTTCATCCCGGAAACTCGTTCTCGACCACAAGTCTCTTTGAGGTGCATAACATGGAAATGTACTGAAGTGAACTGAAAACCTATTCCTAAACTGCTAAAAAATAATTCGGCAAATCCAACGCACTTTGGGAGTCGAGGTTATGCGAATCATGTGGATGCAAGGTGTATGTGGTTTAATTTTTTTTTAGGGGCGAAGATCTTCTTAGTCTAACCTTGTCATACGTCACGCGTACTCGAGAGAAAAAGAGAGAAGAAAAAAAGAAGGTAGTATCTCCCTAACTGAATGATACACAGCGCTGTCTCATAGAAGTACATACAAACTACAGTTGAGTGAAAATATTCTAGAAGGCGCAGTGCCGCCACTCTACTTGGCAGCGGCGGCGGCAACGAAGTACAAGGCTTCAAGTTTTCTGCATTTCGCCTTTGCAGGCTGAATGGTGATCACCTGGTCAACGCCCAGAGAGTATTATCGCCGGATTTCGTGAAGGTATTTTTCTTCCTGACATGATTGACGTCACCGGACTGCGGGAGCTGACCGCCAGGAGCAACGCGAGATTAATACCGATCGCACATCTCGGGATCTTCACTTGGCAGCGGCGGCGGCGGCAACAAAGCACAGGGCTTCAAGTTTTCTGCATTTCACCTTTGCAGGTTGGAAACGCTTCCCTATAATACGGTTACTGCATTATTAAAAATGATGTTGGCGCCGCTACCCTTGAAAGTGCTTTTGACAGAGTCACTTGCGATAATCATGACCCCTGAAATTGTTATTGAACTGAAGGAGGTCCTGAGCAAACTAAAAGAAATTCGAAATGCCCCCGAAAGAGAATACCGAAAAAAAATTGAGATGTGAAAAGTTCCATCGAATTTCAAAGCAACCGTTTTGATAAAATCATGTCTGAAGTGAGCGAAATGAAGAAGGAAAATGCTGAAATTCGAAAGAAAAACGCTGTGCTATCTCTCGAATGCCAACAGCTGAGAAAGTTTGGGCTAGAAAATGAACAGAAACTTGTTGATTTGATATGTGGGGTTTAACGTTCCAAAACCACCATATGATTATGAGAGACGCCGTAGTGGAGGGCTCCGGAAATTTCGGCCACCTGGGGTTCTTCAACGTGCACCCAAATCTGAGCACACTGGCCTACAACATTTCCGCCTCCATCGAAATGCAGCCACCGCAGCCGGGATTCGAACCCGCGACCTGCGCGTCAGCAGCCGAAACAGAAACTTATCCAGCTGGAACAATATTCTCGTAACAAAAATCTTCAAATCAAGGGTGTCTCGGTTTCACGAAACGAGAACTTACCCAGCATCTTAGAAAACATTGACCAAGTGACCAATGAATCAATTTCTAAGATGGATATTGAAGTATGCCACAGTGTGCTGACTAGGCATGCTGAGCAACAGAACATAATTGTTCAGTTTAACATGAGGTCCAAGCGTTGTACTGTGCTTCAGAAAGCTAGAACGCAATTTTTTATGGCAGACATCGGTTTTACACAGCAGACCCCAGTGTTTGTAAATAAGCACTTGTGCCCTGCCCTGAAAAAGCCTTTGGGCCTGACTATTTCATGAAAAAAAAAAAACGAAAAGGAATGGTGTTTCATTTGGCTGTCCAAGTGAAACACCAGTGACAGAGGGTGTCAAAATATTTGAAAGGAAGTCTATATTGTCGCCAGCAGTGCACATTAGCAATGTGCATGACCTTGATAAATTAAACTAAGCACTACCCGATGAATTCGGTAGCTATCATTGTTTGATCAAAATGGGTGCTGATCATTTCGCTACTTGCGATGCCAGTTCTCGGCGCAGGAAGTAAGACAAGAGCTTGTCTGTTATTCATGTAAATGTTCAATCAGCAAGGAATAAAGAAGAGCATATCCTTGCCCTTTTGGCTACGCTTTGTTTTGGGCCAGATGTATTCATGGTCACAGAGAAGTGGTCGAAAGACAGCAGTGATGTTCCTAAATGTCCTTGCTACACGAGTTTCTTTATGAACCGACTATCCAAAATAGGAGGAGGCGTCATGCTGATGGCTCAAAATGAGATTGACTGTCGCCTAGTTGCTCCTTACTCATGTATGACATGTGATTATGAAATCATGATCGTTCGTTTCTTGAATTTTGTGTTCTCTGTCTTATACCGACGACCAAGGGCAAATGTGCCTAATTTCTTCTTATTACTTGATAACTTTCTGGGATGTATAAATGACAGTCAATGCAAGCTCATTTTAGCAAGTCACTTAAATATAGATTTAGGCAAAGTTTCAGCGCAACAAGAATTATGCAAGTCTATGAAAATTAACGTGTTTGAAATTACTATAACTCTTCCTACACGTATTCATGGATACTCATCCACTTTACTTGATGTATTCATTACTAACATAAAAAGCCATCTTGTGTCTGGTGTAATTACTGCACCAGTTAGTGACCATTTGCCAATAATTTTTCGTGACAAGCATTTGTGCTGTTCCTATAATCAATAGGCAACATGCTAAAAGTGTCAGTGATGTAAGTTGATGAACTCTAGCCACTTTTCTTAACGAACTAATTATGATCGATTGGTCAGATGTTATGTGTGCAAAATGCACTCGTGCAGCTTACGAAATGTTCATAAACAAATTCAAAGGCACCTACGATAAGCCATTTTTTTAAACACTTAAACCGTCGCGTGAATGCAACAAACCATGGATTACAAAAGAATGCCTAAAAGAAATACACGCGATGAATAAGGTTTGTAATGTGTTCTTAAACATCAAAAGTTAAGAAGAATTTACACTTTTTAAGGCAAAAAGAAAAAAAAGTGAATAGTCTTTTTCGCTCTGAAAGAAGGCGGCATTTACATAAACGTTTAGACATAAATACAATGAAAAAACCAGATTCTGCATGGACAAGGCTGAACGAATTGCTTGGCCGCAAAGACAATACAAATACTGATCTTTCAAAGGTATATTCAAACGTTCAAATCATTTCTGGAGCGCCCTTGGCAAACACATTTAATAAATATTTTACCTGTCTCTTAAGTGCTAGCAGCCAAAGCCCACAGTGGCTAGAGTACCTAGGTGCCCCATTTAAAGACAGCGCTTTTTTTGGCTCCAACAAGCACAAAAGAAATCATTTCTGTGCTTATGTCACTAAAAGACAGTAAGAGTTCTGATTCTAATGATTTCCGGATTCTACCGGTGAAAGAAGTTTTGGACATAATCGCGCCAATAATAGAACATCTGTTTTACCTTGTTTTCTCACATGGACATTTCCCAGAGGAATTACAAAAAGCAAGGGTGATTGTTTTACACAAATGTGGTGATGCTAATGGGTTCTCAAATATATAGACCAACATCCCTGCTTTCAGTATGTTCCAAAGGCTTGGAAAAGCTAATTTATTGTAGAATGACTACTTTTATTTGAAAACATTGAATTATAACAGACAAACAATTCGGGTTCGGAAAAGGACTTTCTACAAAGGACGCTCTTTTGTCACAAAAAGAAACTATATTACAATCTTTCGAACAGGAAATGTGTACAATAGGCGTATTTATAGATTATTCAAAGGCTTTTGATAACATTAATGATTCAACCTTGCTGCAAAAGCTAAGTCGTTATGGTTTTCATGGGGTGTTTCTTGAACTACTCACTTCTTACGTAAAACACCACCGACAACAAGTTTGCATAAATCATCACGCCTCAGATTTCAAGGCACTGGGTGCCGGTATTCCGCAGGGCAGCATTGTAGGGTCCCTTTTGTTCTCCCTATATATAAATTACATAATCAGAATTGATAACTCCGCGCAATTCATAACACATCATGATGACACTACTCTGCTCTTTACCACGCGAAATGCTACTGATGCAATTTCCGATGCCAATCGGACCTTATCGATGCTATTATCATAGAGCTCAGACAATTCTCTTGAAATAAATGCTGTTAAAACAAAGGCTGTCTTGTTTACAACCAAAAACTGTAAAATGGAAGCTCAGATTGGTTTATACTATCCAAATTCACCTATAGAAATTGTTCCTTCTGTAAAGAGTCTCGGTGTTTTGTTTGAAGAACACATGTCTTGGAATAAGCACACTGAACTGATCACTGGTAAGATTTCGCGGGTGTGCGGTATCCTCAACAAATTCAAATACTATTTGCCTAACTATATTAAGCTTGTTATTTTAAACAGCCTATTAGCATCGCATATTAGGTACTGCTACTTAGTCTGGGGTGTGACGATGCTGACTAATATTAAGAATCTTCACGTAATTCAGAAAAAAAGCAATTTGTGCCGTCATGAACGCGCCATACAACAGTCACACGGAATCATTTTTTATTGAGCTTAACTTAATTCCACTTCCATCATTATACGAAAAGGCGCTGTCTAAGCGCTATCGCACTGGTGTCGCAAAAAATAACTTTTTACGTAACCTCTCTTGCCAAACAGAAAACAAAAAGCTACGCGTGGCTCGTCTCACTGAAAAATGGGAACTTCCACGCACGCGATCTAACTATGGCAAACAGATGTTATGCTATTTATGGCCATACCATTTGAATAGTACAAATGAGCCTGTATATAGCCTGTCTTAAAGGGGGAAAAGTTGGCCCTGTAACTGCATGCTACACTGCAAATGTCGTCGAAAGACGATAACTTTGCGTTTGAAGAGAGTAAACAAAACCGTTTATTTGATGTTTGTGCAAGAAACTTGGTGAGTGGTATTCTGGAGGCCCTGCGTTAGAGTGCCTCGAGCGTGCAGCGGAGGCGAATGAGCGCATCAAGTCACGTCACACGTGATACATGAGCGCTATTTGGCAGATATCTTGGAAAACGAAGCACGCGTGCCTTGCGCGCTCGTCTCGGAGGTGATAAGGTGTACAACGCAAGGCGACGGGTAGGTGCCACCACCGTGTCCTCTTGGCGAAGCGTTGGAAACACTTGCCTTTTCGTGCAAGCGTTGCATGGTCAGCGCAGCGTGATAAACGCCA